TGAAGGCTCAGTTTTACCTCTTAACTAGAAACTCAGCTGGCAGTTAGAGATGCACCTCCGTAATACAGTAATTTCCCAGGCTCCTTCCTCCTGAAGGCTAGGAGTACCAACATTGTCCTCATCCACTCATTTGCTGCTACACTCGTGAGAAATCAATAGGCTGACTGTCTTCAACATGAAGCAGCACACTGCTGCTTACCTTAGTGGCCCCTTTTTCCATCCCAGCCATCAGGGTGACTGATCATTTAGTGGTTGTGCAGCTCTCTACAGTTTAACACATGCTTCTTACATTGCTAATTAGTACTATGGAATCCATGGGATTGTCCATGGTAAATGGTTTAAATAGTGAACAAAACAGGAAAACTAACATTCTACCTCTCACATTACACAAATAGGTTCATAGTCTGTAAACTGCTCTTTTTCACTTAGTATATATTGGGAAGATTCTCTTAAGAAAAAGTACAATGTTGTATCTCAAAATATGGATGTTCTATTATTTTGTAAAATTCCCTATATATATTAAATATATGAATTGTTTTAGGTCTTTCCTGTTAAAATAATTGGCTCAACAAGTGTTCTTGCAAATATAGTTTTGTGCATTATGTTAGCATATCCATAAAATAAATTCTGAATGTTGGAATCGCTGGTCAGAGAGACTATATGTAACACATTTTGATAGGCTATCAATAATTTACCTGCTATAGGAAGGAGGTAAACATGACTCCTTGGGTCTGGAGAGAGGACTCAGCAGTTAAGAGTGCTCATACAGCCCCCACATTGGGCAACTCACAGCCACTCTGCTGGACTCTGGAAACCTGAACACACACACACACACACACACACACACACACACACACACACACACATACACACACACACACATACACACACACACACATACACACAAATCTTTAAAGAAAGAAATAGAATTTGACTATACCCTCATGAATGCAGATAATCACATTTTAATTTATTCACATTGCTGTATAAAAATCAGCACCTCGGTTTTTGGATTGGGCTTCATTAATTTTGCAAAGTTGAGTATCCTTTTATATACTTTTAATAAAGTGTTCCATTTTTTGTTGAAAAACTTATTCCTAGTAACATCACCAATGGAAATGTCCTAGCTGTTTTCAAAAGTAGAGACTGATGATAAGCTAAAGTTCCAGAGTGTTCTTCAGCTCTGCCAGCTTTATTTTCTGGGGTCTTACTCTCCCTCACATGTCTAGTTCATGAAAAACACTTATTAAGCATGTATTATTTACACAATAATGACAGGCACACTTGGAAAGTCAGACTTGGTTAGATGAGAAAATATCACTAAGTCTCCATTTGTGGGGCTATCCATTAAGGCAAAGACTCAAAGTCTTAGCATTTGACTCTTGCTTCTCCGTGAGTACACACCCCTGCCTAATTTTTCCAAACTAAATCATATTAGCCTCAACTACCTGTTGGCTATGCAGTGGAAATGCTCTAACCAAAAAAGCCTCTACTTGGGCAGCCTCCAGTTATCAAATGGCCACTGCTACCTTGGAAGTGACGAGTTCAGTGTCTGACCTGGATTCAGCCAGCAAAGGGAGTTCCAAGGCTAGCGTCCTTGTACTGAGGTGGCATGTCATCTAGTGCCCACTGGCAGTTCTAGCTCATTTTTGTTTGTTTCTTTAGTTGGTTAGTTCATTTATCATTTGTTAGACTGAAAGGCTCATAGCTATAGGCCATTACTTACTGGTTAGTCCAAGTATCAGATGCAATTTCTCCTTTGACTGCTAACAAGCAGGAAGTGGGTAGCCTGTGAGTGGGTTTTAGACATGGACAGCATGGACTCCACTTTCCAATGTAGCAGAGTCTAAGCTTGCTAGCATAAGTGAGTACAGTAAGCCAAGAGTTAACTTTCCAAGTGGTGGAGTGTTCGTGATGATTCTATTTTAGATCCCCTTCTCTTCCTCACAATCTCTTTGGATTGAGAAATAGGGCAATTTCTTTGAGTACAATGGTACTCTCACCACTCAGTGTTAGCTGCTGAGCTCTTGGGTGGCTTACAGGTGATCCTATAGGTGGACACTTAAAGCTTGCTAGAGATACAGGCTTAAGATAACATAGGCAATCCTTACTCTACATGGTAATGCAAGAATGTAAAATGACAGCACAGGGTGATACTCTGTAAAATAGATTTTTTAAAAAAGATTTATTTATTTATTATGTATACAGTGTTCTGTCTGCATGTATGCCTGCAGGCCAGAAGAATGCACCAGATCTCGTTATAGATGGTTGTGAGCCACCATGTGGGTGCTGGGAATTGAACTCAGGACCTTTGGGAGACCAGCCAGTGCTCTTAACCTCTGAGCCATCTCTCCAGCCTGCAAAATAGATTTTAATAATTAAGAAAAATCTATGTCCAAACATCTCTGTTAAAAACCCTAAATATGAAAACTCTCTGCTCATTGCAGACATACATAAAGGTGAAATAAATTCATGGCAATGTTCATGTAGCACATTATAGAATGTTAGAAATAGGAAGGCAGAAAGATTGGTGGTGTTGTTGCTGTTGGTAAACATTTATCAAGATTGGTTTTTGTAGTCCTACCTTTTTGCGCTAGCAGTGACTTTATGGAGTGAGGGTCAGTGTTGTACCTGGCAAACTTGCCCACTGGTTGCCCATTTCGATCTGCTTCCAGCATTGTATTATTGTGCCTTCTATGTCATGAGACACCTCTGAGAGTTCTTTGCAGGCATCCTTCCTCAGCAATATTTCCATCCTTTCTGGTACACCCCTTCACTTGTCAAATTTACCTATACTACTTCCTTTGACTGTATGCAAATGAGGGAGTGTCAGGGTCCCCATTACAAACTATTTCTTCTGTTATTCCACTCTGTTTGATTCAAATTTTACTCCTAGTACCAACATTTTCTTTTCTTTGCTACACTTTTATCTTTGTTGACTAATTCCTTGGAGAGAAGGAGATGGGTGGATGAACAGATACTTAGTATCCAGGAACCAATACACTTTGAAAGAAGTAACCCAGCTGGTCATTGATCATAATGGGCACCTGTTTGGTGTGGGCTGCAAAGCCAGCAGTGAGTTTGCAATTTTTATAATAATGTTTAATATAGCATGGTGTGTGAAGTTTGAGGGACTGATGCTGTTAGTTAAATCATGGTAACTAAATATATGCTTATCAGGACTTTGCAAAGCAAAGAGTACTGTAATAAACTGCTGTCATATTGTGCATATCATTTAGGCATAGTCATGTGTAGACAGGCTCATCTTGCTAAGGCATCTTAGAGGTGACTTGTAGGTGCAGCATTTCCTTTGTTCTCCCTATCAGGATAGGTTGCATGTCCTGTGATAAAGAATGACTTCTAAGTCCCAGTGCTTAGCGTCTTCCATTGAAAATTGCCTGGCATGAGTAAGAGTTGCTGCATTCTTAGTCAGGGATCTGACTAAGAGAGGCTCCAGATCTTTGTAGGTACCTAGTAGAAACTGGGATGGACTATGAGCATGATGGACTATGTAGGAACTCCCAAAAATGTGTCACCTAAAAGTGATATGTTTATTCTGACAAAGTCACAAATTCTTCAAAGAGGGTAGAAACGTGAAATCCACAGTATCCAAGAGTTAACCTGGGGACATTTCTTTGAACAGGACTGAGGTTACAGACTCAATGCAAAATGTCAGATTGTATCTTTGCTAATGAGAGAATTAAATTGAGCCCAAGATGTGTATATCCAAAGTCTAGGAGCCTAGGTACTGTGAATTCTGACAGAAGTCAGGATGAAGCTGAGAAGTTGCAAGCCTTGGAGATCAGGACTCAGATCAATGACTCTGAGACGATCAGGCATTTCAGATGGCTCTAGTCTCCCATGGCTGCTGCTTTAGCCCTGTGTATGCTCCCAGTTCTAGGATACCTAATAGAGATGACTTTTAAATTGGGCCTTGAAGGCAGTATAGGCCATGGTTGTCAGAAAGGGATGATAAATTAGGGGGCAGAGGAGAAATGAGTACAGCCAGTGTAGAGTACTCAGATGCTGGGGGAAAAGGTAAGGGCAGAACAGAAGAGCTTGGGACTTAGTCTCCTAATGATCTCTTGTTATTACTATTCTGTTCTTGATGCTGATCTATTTTTAACCATGACTATATTAAACTCAATAAATCCTCCACAGTGTATTCAGATGGCTGCCCTTAATGTGCTCAGTCTTGTGGTTTTCTGTGTCATTAGTGCATAACACTTAAATCTACCTATGTACAAAGACTGCTTAGAATTGCTACATACCTGTGGTCTCATTTTAACCTAAAGGTGATCCAAACATCCTGTCCAAATGTTCTCTAACAGCCGGAATTAGAATAAAAAATATTTAAGTCAAGCAGGAGCCATTTGAGCTTACCTCTGTGTGTCTTGGCACATTAGATGGGATATTTGGAAAATAGTGTATAATGGCCAATTTTGGTTTGATACGGTCATAGCTGGGATAAAAACAGCACACTGAGTCAATTATAGCCAAATGGCCACATTATATAGAAATATTCCAGGCAAGAGCTTTCAAATCGATGATCTATATTCTTTGACATACTGTTTACCTAAGTACCCGAGTGTGGGTGTTTTTCCTAGACATTTGGTGTTGTGTAGACTCACCTTTAGTGTTGGACCCTTAGCTTTTGGGCAGTGTCTTACCAGTTTCCTAAGAACAGTGCAAAAGAGGTCTTGGCTGCCACAGAATTGCCATGTTGTAACCTTGGCACAAGCAGGCTACATTTATTCCTTCATGACTTGAGAGTGGTTTTCTCTAACCCTGTTCACATCATAAGTGATGCCATGTGGTAGTTAGCCACTGTGGGACAGGGAGTGTGCTCCAACAGACACCAGAGTTTTGGTATTTGCTCAGCTTTATAATTTTTCCATGTAACTTGCTAATTTGGAGAGAATATATTAGTAAGAAAGATGTTTAAGAATCTTTCAATTATCTGAACTGTTTATAACACAAACATTTGTTTTTAATATTAGGGCAATACATTTTCTTCAGTGAGACCAACCAATGTATTAGAAATGATGAAAGAATGGAAAAATAACCCAGAAAGTGATGAGGACACCAAGACAGAAGAGAAGACTAAGCATCCTGTGACAGGAAAGTTGAAAAGTAGCCACACGAGGGAAAAGGTCCTTGATGTCAATGACAGTCCGTCTGCAAAGACAACAAAACAGGTAGGAAGAGCCACCGTGGCAGGCTCCACTGCTCAGCACTGTCACGCGCTGGGGACCTCTTTTGCAGCTCCATCATTTCACTGTTAGTTGGTAACAAAGGCCTGCATTATTCAGCAGGTGAGGTCCTTCTGCCTTCTAAGCCATGTGATTTAGCAGCAGGGCCTCATATTTAGGATCAGGGGCTATTCAGAGTGTGGCTGCCAACTTTTCTCTGTGAGAGAACGCATGCAGATTGAGCTTCCCTAATCTGAACATCCAGCAATTTCAGATGAAGGACACTCAGACTGTAGGAAGTGCTATAGGCTTTGGGGCCCTATTAGCCTCTGTCATAGCTACTCAGCTCGGATGGTACAGCCTGGGCACTGCCGCAGACAGCAGCGCGTGAACATGACTTCATTCCAGCTGAGCCTTTGCTGATGAAACAGGTGGTATGCCAGATTTGACCCATGGCTCCAAATTAATAAGTTTTGTACTCTATCCAGCTATAGAATTTAAAATTGGTTTATGTATTATATGCAAAATGTATTATTATATTATACAGTTATTTGTGTATTGTTTCATAAAAACCTGAGCTACATAGGTTTGTTGGGTTACCTGATTAGATCTGAACAGTTTCATGTCTGTGGGACAGTTTTGTTAACATTTTGATTCTAGATTGTAGATCTATTAACTGGATATTCAGAGGGTTTGCCCAGACAAGCCCTTCCCTTTTTTTTTTTTTTTTTTCCGAGACAGGGTTTCTCTGTGTAGCTTTGCGCCTTTCCTGGAGCTCACTTGGTAGCCCAGGCTGGCCTCGAACTCACAGAGATCCGCCTGGCTCTGCCTCCCGAGTGCTGGGATTAAAGACGTGCGCCACCAACGCCTGGCGGTCCCTATTTTTATATATATGTCAGTGTAAGTTTTTTCTGTTTGAGTTCTCTCTCCTCTGTCTGTGTCCTAGCTCTTACTTAAACTCTGCATCCTGTGCTCGGGAGAGTCCAGATTTCTGTGTTTGTTGTTGATTTCTGGTTCCCTGTAGCAGCAGATAGGCAGAGCACAGGGGACTGTCGGGGCGAGCCCTGACCCATGCCCAGGAATGTGCAGTCCTGCTGGCCCTACTCCTAGCCAAGATTCCTGCCAGAATCTTGCAGAAGGGGCCTGGGAGAGTGACCTCCTGGCTGGGAAGCTCTGTGTCTGCTGGACAGTAAATGTGGGATAAAAAGCTTAACATAGTGACTTAGATTGTGTGCAAGAATCACTCTTTTACGATACTGTAAACATAAGCTTATTGATTCCCTTCCTGTCTCATCTGACAACAACTCCTACGTTGCTCAGCACAATGTGTATTTTATATTCTCTTCAAAAATTACACCCTAAAACTCATGTTTACATTTCTTTTTGTTGAACATAATTTGAAGATTTTCTGTTGGCTGACATGGTAGCATATACATACACAAAGTTACACATATTCACATCCATACATACGGTGTGTGTGCATGTTTATATAATGCATATACACATGCATCTATATGTGCACATATACAAATATACACACTGCACAAATGTTCTGCGGTGCAGGGTTATATCTGTGTTTATCAGTGAATATGACATAGACTTCCTCTGTGGGTCAAAGGCACTCCATCTCCTTTCCCATTGCTCTGTCATGCTTTCTTCCCTGTCCCAGACGTCCTGCAAATCACAGGCTAATGTGTGTGACCTCTTCTGCTCTTGGCGACTTCAGCTAAGGAAGAAAGGGATTAGAATGTGAACTTTGTCATCTATTGACAGGACTTTAGTCATAAACCTGAGAATACAGCATTTCATTTCAGCAAGAACAGCTGTTTCGCACTCAGGGCTCACGTCAGTGAGCAAGGGCTGGGCCACAGTAGCAGTGCCTCCCAGGATGGAAAGAGAGCTTGCTGGTTGCACGGCTTCTGTAGCTGTTCCTGCAATGCTCATAGCATTTTGCCTTCAGTGTCTTCTAAGGAATTTTCCCTTGCTTAGGCTTGTCTGCGATATCTTGGGAGGAATTTAACGTGGCATTTTTTTCCTGAAGTTTGTTTCCCTTTAAAAGAGACAGATTCCTCATATTTCATTGGCTTTTGCAAGTAAATATACTATTTTCTTAATTGTGCCAAAGTTTATGCTGAAAATTACTTCCAGTCTTTCAAATTTGTATTTACAATAAGTAGCAGAGTGTGGAAGTCCTGAAGTCAGTGGAATGAGTGGAGTGATATCACCGAGATTCCCTAAGCATGGGATCAAGACTGATCACCTCTATTTTCCTCAGAGCTGAACAACAACAACAAACCCTAAAACAAACAAACAAACAAACAAATAAAAAACCAACAAAAAACCCAACCAACCAAACACTCTCCCCTCCCCCCCCCAGCTGCCTCAAAACCTCCACCTCCATTGATAGCGTGAGAAAAGTGGTCTTCTTAGGACCACATTGCCCTCCTCCTCTCTCAGGAGGCACACTGTCCCCCAAGAGAGAAGTCATTAGGATCTAAGGTCTTTCCCGGGAGAAGAGAGAAGCAGGAAAGCAGCCACTTCCCTGGCATTCAGAAACACTGCAGGGAAGCCCCTTCCATTCTCAGTTCATGGGGAGCTTAGAGGGAAAATGGCAGCCAGAGAGAAACTAGAAAAGAGCTGAGCCTACTGAGGAGACCAGTGCGGTGCTAGAGTGGAAGCTTATGTCTGTCAGCAGTGGCAGTTTGTCATCACTCCAGGTAATGATGTAACCTACTGGCAAAGCTGGGTGGGTCCTAGAGGAGGTGGGCATTCTTCCAACCGTACTTCCCTAGAAGGCCAGTCTCTAACATAGCCCTTCTCCATAGTCCAAGTCTGCCCAGTGACAGGAACGCCCTTCCAGTGAATTCTGTGAGTATAAACAGTGTCGTCTGACCACAAAGACCACTCCAGACCCTTCCATGAGTGGGATCAGACCAAAGCTATTTAATTAATAACCAGGAACTGGTTTGCTGCACCTGGGGATTTAAACAGTTCTTTCTGTGGCTGTGAAGAGAGGAACACTACCAAGGCTGTGAATTACATCTATTAACAGGTCCTGGTTCTGCCACACCTGAGAGTTTAAACAGTATTTCCCATGACTCCAAAAACCACCTTCAGACTCACCAAGGGAGTAACAAGACTAACACGGTGGCCAGAAGTGCACGCTGTGGATTAGTGGATTAGTGGCAGTTGCCTACCCAGCGGCTCAGCCTAAATACAGAGCACAACCAATTGTCTTGCCAGAAAGCAGAATAAAGCCAGTGCAGAGGCAGCCACCTAGCCATCTAGAGATCTTGAAAGTAATCTCTGAGCCACCATCATAACACAGCAGGGAAGGCTGCTGTTTCCAAACTGCCCAAAGAAGCCAAGGTAGCGGCTTCTTCAAATATGGAGGCCAGTGACAGAACACAGAATTACAAAGACAGTAGATCTCTAGTCAGTGGTGGCGCACACCTTTAATCCCAGCACTTCAGAGTCAGAGGCAGGTGGATCTCCAAGTTCAAGGCCAGCCTGGTCTACAGGGTGATTTCCAGGACAGCCAGTGCTACATAGAGAAACCCTGTCTCAAAAAACAAAACAACAAAGACAGTATATCATCACAACCTCCAATAAAACCACAACAATAGACACCAAAGAAAGGGAGAACTATGTCATAACAGAAAAGAGAATTCACAAAATCTCTTAAAAATTCACTGAACCCAAGAATATATAGATGAAAAATGAAATTTGAGAATAATGCATGAATAAAACAAGCAGTTTTGCAAAAGCAATCAAGAAAGAAAGGAAGGGACAGCAGAGAATGCGAGGGAGAGAGGGAGGGAGAGAGAGAGAATCTAAACAATGGATTAATTATATAATGAGCCAAGTAAAAATGCAATAAAAGCTTTAGCAGCTCAAAATGAGGAACAGTGAGATTGAAGACAGAACATTTGAAATTGGTCAGTCCAGTATCAGAGAGAGAGAGAGAGAGAGAGAGAGAGAGAGAGAGAGAGAGACAGAGACAGAGACAGAGACAGAGAGACAGAGACAGAGACAGAGAGAGGAGTGTGAAGAAAGCTTATAGGAGTTGTAGGCTACCGTCAAGAGACCTAATCTATGTGTAATAGGAATTAAAGAAAGTAGAGAGAGAAATAGAGCCAAAAAGCATATTTAAAGAAATTTAGGATGAGGACAAGTGCGATGGTTGCACATTTTTAATCTCAGCACCCAGGAAGCAGAGACAGATGGATCTCTGTGAGTTCAAGGCCAGTCTGGTCTACATTATCAAGTTTCAGGACAGCTAGGTCTGCATAGTGAGACTCCGTCTCAAAATTAAATAGATAAAGTAACTTTTAAAGTATTGAGAGGAATTTTCCATAATCTGAGGAAAAAGCCAATATTCAGTCAAAGGAAGTTCACGTACCTGTACTCAGAAAGAACCAAAGAGGACCTCCCCATGTCACACAAAAAGACACTACCTGGTATCATGACAAAGCAGAATCCCTAAGAGGAGCATGGGGAAGAAGTCATGGCATACAATCACAGAAGCCTCCAGGCCAAGAGAGACAGGGTGATATTGTCAAAACACTGAAAGGGAAAACTACCACCAAGAGTGCCATACTTGGAAAAGCTATAAGTTGGAAATGAAGGAGAGAGGTAACTCTCTTAGACAAAAGAATCTGAGGGAGTTCATTAACATCTGTTAAGACACATCTAGCAAAAATGCCAAAGGGAAGTCTTCAAATTAAAAGGACACTAATGTGGAACACAAAAGTATCTGAAGATGCAAAACTCACAGGTCAAAGTAAAAATCCACACACCCCCACACCTGAAAAACCCAACCAGCCGATCAGCCAACTAGCCCTCCACACCAGGATTGTAAGATAAACCACTTGTATTCCAGATGGGAATGTTAAAAGACAAAGCACAGATAGTTACAATAACTAATATCAAAGAGATGTAAATAGAGACATCAGAAATTGAAAACAGGGGTGGGGGTGGGGTGGAAATAGAGTTAAAATGTAGGG